TTTTTTCACATATATAGTGGTCATTTATTCGGTGTGAATATTTTTATTATTTCGAAAATTATTGCTTTAACGTTTTTTTGGTAGCTATCACAAATTTTGTTTTAGTGGAAAAACCAACGTTTTTTAAGATACATCTGGTATTCCAGAAACTTCGAAGAGCGACATTGGCTACATTTGAAGAGTCTATGAAAGTATAAAGTCCAATAAATCTTTTCTTTTATTGTTCATGGGATTTATCTAAACCCTTTCATAAAGGTTAAAAAGATGCTTCTATACCCAGGCAAACGCTGACGAAACAAGTTATGAAATAGTGATATACTCAAAAAGGATATAATAAAGAATTATGATATACTCATAATTGAAATATGAATGTCTCATAAGTCCTTTCCTAAATATCGCCTTTCGTTCACCTGACTTTTCTTTTTTTTTTTCTTAACTTCTCTCTGCGGTTTTTTTCTGTGTTCATCTTTGTCTCGTTATCTTTCTCTCTATTATATAAGTGGGTGTTGTATCTCAAGAAATTACATTGTGGAGGTATGAAGTAACTCAATAAACATCACTATCGAGAGTAGCATGTCAAGTTAGTCTAAGAGTTGGTCGTTACAAGTATGAATGCTATTGTTCTTCGACGCATTCGCTTTTCTCTCGCTGAGATCTTCCTGTCTATTTTTTCTCTTTATATCAATCTGACATAAACATTTTTGACTGTGCCATTCAATTTATCAGTCTTTACTCTTCTCTTATGTATCCTACCGTCAGATAATGAATTTTTCGTATGATAAGCTTTATGTCACCTTAACACACCTCTTGTGCTAATTAACAGTTTCCACTAACATTTCATCTGTCTTATTCTTCTACTGTAGTTGATCTTTTGTGCAATACGATAGGTAATGAATGTGGAAGTATGTAGCAAGAAAAGCAATGTCCTTCCAGAATTTCGTCGATCGCCCATAAACTTGAAAAATGAAAAATAGTTCATGACTTCCATGAATTCTATACAAAAAAAAACATTAAAAAATGGCATTTCAGATGATGTAATGAACGCAAAAAGTTGATTTATTTCAAATTCATAGATTAACAGCAACAGTTTCCATGAAAAACTTTTTAGAGTCTTTGGACTCCAGACTCTGACAGAAAGAGTATGCAAAACTCCCTCGAACAGCCACAAGCGATGATAAGTAGATTTAATGTGCAAAGCTTCTTAGTGTCACAGATCGTGACAGATATTTTGATATGTTAGTCTATGTAATCCTGAGGGATATCATGACAAATGTGAATATGGTTCATATTTGCGAGTGGAGCAGATTTGCCGCATTTCACACTTCAATCCTGCATGTATTATGTTTTTTCTATTTTTTGTATGTTTTTCTTGGTATTTCATCGTTTTATTGCAAAGAATGTTTCTATTGTGCACTTGATGATTGAGTAGCAAATGACTGTCATCTAACGAGTTGCGGTCGAATTTTCTCACATAATTTATCTATGTGAAAAAAACGGTCAAAAATCAGACAAAAGTCTATTATAATAGCACTATTTTTATCTGAATTTTATCTGATTGTTCAATCTTCAAAATAAATTTCATTTAATTTTTATCTTCTTCAGTCTATTTTAATCGAGTAGCAAATTTTGACGAAATAAAATCGATTTAAATAACGAGTTGTCATTGGCTTAATTTAGAGAATCAATTAAAATAAATTATAAAAACAATGAACTCTGTCATTAATGGTGAAAAGTTTCATTACAATCAGATAAAAATAATACTATTATAATAAATTATTTATCCACAAATAATGAATTTTGATCCGATTTTGAGTCGTTTTTCGTTGACATGGATATATAATTATCACATCAATTATTTTTCGTGTGTGATTTTCACTTGCAATTTTTGCTCTGAGCTCT